ATATAGTCGTACCAAATAAAACTCATGTCTTCTCATTTTCAACTTTAAATACATTTTCGTAGCTGACACTTCGAGACTTCACAATTCGTTTTATTGCGATTTCGTATCTCGCGAAGATTCCTCAGAAATCGCAATATGTTTCTACAACAATCTCAGCAAATGACACTACGGGCTCGGGAGATTTATGCGCGGAGAAATGATTCATTGAAAATACGACTACGATATGTATAACTGACACGGTAGATAAAGCCGCAGTGCAAAGTTACACAGTTTACACAGTTTAGACAGTTTACACAGACCGATATAATTAATCAGACTTTCTCGGAAAACGAAGGTAACGAAGCTGTGTATTCGGAGGAATGTAAAGCTTTTATCGGATTATGTCTAAAATTAAACGACGAGACACGAATTCCAATTATCGATCATAATTTATATTGATTTCCTTTTTTAAAGAATGTAGGAAACTAAAAAGCACCACATCGTTTGAAATATCTCTTTGACTGATCCATTTCTTCGCAGTCACCTTAAACTTATATTATTGGTTAATTCCTAGATATCAGATAAAAAGCCCGGATAAGTTTACATAATATATCTGCTATTTTTAATGTATCATTATGTCAATGTACTGTTAAGGCACAAAAGCAAATTTGTTAAAACCAGGGATTTGGACCGAATAAAAATATCAGCCCGGTTCCGGTCCACTAAAATATTTGATAAAGGTTCCGGTTTTGGTTCCGGTTTTCTGGATATTTTATTATTTATATTATACATATATATATATATATATTTAGATTATATATATATATATATAATATAATATAAAGATTGTACGGACACGATTATGCATCAGTAGATATATATATATATATATATATCTACTGATGCATAATCGTGTCCGTACAATCTTTCTCTATCGAATGAAAATTATCTGTTATCGGCGTAATGGACTCGTCATCTTTATTGATAGAATAGGGCGTGGATGGGTCTCGCGAGGAATAAAAGAAAAGGAACGATACCATTAGTGGATTTTACAGGAAGATAACGCGGATTTTTGCCAGAAGAAATATTGACGATTACTCATTAAATCAGTGGCTTCGTTTTCGCCTCACGGATGCCGACGCATACCAGTTGGCGTTGGCGTTCCCGCTAAATGCTCTCCCTCGCGAATTCTGTGGTCGTTGCGGCTTCGCTCGGGATAGGTCAGTGCTTCCTCGTTGCTTCTGCTTCCTTGCTCGCTCGTGACACGATGCACCTTCCTATACCGAGTACGTTCGGACCAGGTATAATTTTACGATACAGATACATCGTCGCTTCGCGGGATTTCCGCCACGATCTGCAGCTCGCGAGTTCGGTTATTGTCGACTTAACTTCGACGATATTGCTGTTTTGAATGTACGCAATGAGACGTAGATTCAGATACCAGCGAGCAGCTCGAGAGGTACTCGTCGCCGAAACATTCACTCGGGAATAATGATATCGTAATCAAGCAAAAATAATCGAATTTCCCCGACGTGCGGCCTGAAATGATAAAAAGCGCAATATCGTACAACAACACTTTGAATATTTATCAAGACACATGCAGTGCAAAGGCATCTTAATTTCCGACCGATCTGTCAATCACGACCGATATCTCGCTCTTATCTGCTACAGCCTGTAATTAATTGCAATTGCCCGATAATAGTGTGTGCCGGCTGAGCACGTTGTTGGCGATAAAGTCGAAAGCATCAAACGATTATCGTTGTTTTTTCCCCGAATCATCATTGGCTTTTATTGTGGCTCGATCGATAGTCGCGACGGTCACGATTGTCTCGCGCGGAATTTGACGCGAGGCTGGACGCTGCGTCGTTCCTCGCGATCTCTGCATCAGAGTGACGCGCGCTGCCGTTGTGTCGCGCGAGATGAATCATATTGTCGGTCGGACCTCGCATCCCGAGCACATCGTCGCACTCCCGCTCGTGCTCGCGATGTAGTTATGACGATTTAATCTCCTTACGTAAGCGACCGTTCGCAGGCGATAACGCGCGTGCGGTATTACAAGCACGTGTGCGAGCCGCGGACTCGGCTAAGTCGCTCCTAACCGTTTCCAATTCGCACGCATGTGACATTATGCGACCTCCGATAGCCGTCAGCGCCGGATTAGAGGCGATTCGATCACCTTATCACGGCATGACTTCATCTCATGATCGTTATTGTACAGTTGACGGTAAATTAAAATATCCTTGTAATAATTTCTCCGATTATGAAGAGCTGGAGACGGTCTTTTTATCGCGGCGAAGAATGTAGCGGACTTTTGGGAAAACGGGGTAATTAACCCTCTCATGGCAAGGTCGGGTCCGACCGGATCCATGTTTTATTACTTTTGCGCACGTGCTGGCGCAGCAGAGCGTATTGCGGTTTCATAAGTCTTTCAAGCCAGTGTAGATTTAGCGTATCTAAATTGAATGGTGAGGAATGGGGTTCGAGATGTATGTAGAAAAGGATACGCTCTATTTTGTACCCTTTGCGTTCTCTCTCTCTCGTTCGTGTTTCAATACGCGTATTTATGCGCGAACGAGAGAGAATGCGAGGTAGAAAACGGAGCGCATCCTTTTCTACGTGCATCTACACCGTTATTTCTCAAACAAAGGCAAAAGCTTGGTCCAAGTAAACAATGTCTATGCACACTAGTCTTTTCGCAGCAACTGATAACGCAAAATAAGTGGGACTGTATTATTTTGCTCGGTATAAGATCTAATTCCCCTACCTGCGCACTCTCTCGACCTACTTTGTTGTATCACTTATTCTTAATTAATTTTTTTAATTTTGTACTATTTTGACAAAGTATTTGTCATGAATTACCAATAATAATAATTTGTAATTACTTTTTGATTAATTAAAGGAGAGAAACGAACTCTTTATCTCTTTCTCTCTCTCTCTCTCTTTTATTTTCATTTCATACATTTTTTTTAATGAAATTCTTTTCCTGTTTTATTTCCTTATTGTATATAATTTTATTACTTATTTATATTATTATATTATATTATTCTTTCTTAACGAAAAATAATAAATTGAATATACAACACATGATTTTTTTAAGGTTTCCACTTAAATAAATATTGTAATGTATTTTATATTTCAATTATTTTGCATATTTTACTATATGTTTTGTTTACTTTTAAATATTTTCTCACTTATTGTGAGAATAAAAAGTGTCTAGTTGGTAAAATTAATTGAAAAACTACAATATGCTTTTACCGGTCAAATTTGAGCTATTTTGTTATATGTGTGATCACAGGAACCTTGTTATTTGAAAGTTAAATATTTTACAATTAAAAGGGGATAAAACATGCAAGTACAAATAAAGAAAGTTTTTTCCAATATAATGATTATGATGTAAATATATATGATACAATATATTATAATATAATATAATATGTTACTCAAATATATTATAATATAGTATGTGATGTATGTGTGATAGTTTTAATAGTTTTATTCTTTCAAAAACAGCTCTTTCATGAATATAATATTCTTCGAAGTGCCTTGAATCGTTCTTTTTAACGATGTATTTTTTTTTCAAGTGCTTTCAGTCATTCTTTTTAACAGACATTTTAAAGACATTTAAATACGTTTCTAAGTGCCTTCTCTATTGAGTCGCTGATAAACAATAATTAAATAATGACACGACGATAATTTAAAGTCAAGGCTGCGCGCGACCAACCAAGTGAGTAGGAAAATGCAAGTAGAAGAACAGCTTCCAACAGTTCTGGTAAATATTTCAATGAAAGAGTTACGCAATTAACGCCACCCGTATAAACCGCAAAATTGGGCAATTCACGTTACGTTATCATGCTCATGATTAATTTATCTTCGTATTGCTATCGTTGATATTTCTTGCTTGATGTCTTATAATATTATCTGTTAAAGAGACTGAAAAGAGATACTGAAAAATGCGTCAAATACATTCTCCTTCCAATAACATTCACTAATGACTGTCGTCATTCTTCAACTTTAAAAATGTTTAATATCGAGCGATATGTTCATACTAGACGTGTATTAAAATAAAAATAAATTTGCTGAAATGTGCTGAAAACTAATTTTTACTCTTGTACATAATTTCGTTCGTTCTTAAAATTAATTAAAATTATGTATGTGCCGAGTGGATCTGGTTTAAATCGCCTGTGTCGAAAGCTAATATTAATTATGGTATATTGTTTAAAGGGCTCAGTGTTATCAATGTTATGAAATTTACTAGTGCTAATTATAATTCGTCTTCGCAATTATTACGCAAATTGATGTCCAAAAGTTCGGAATTTGACATAAACTCAATAGACTTACTCAATAGACGTTAATAATGGAGAATATTAAACGAAATAATATAGTCTCGTCGTAATATTCCAACGATCTTTAATTAACGGCCCGGGCATTTTGCCCGCTTCAATCGAGCGAGACAAGCAGTTGTTTCGGATTAACTAATCCAAGTGTGTAATCCCGTGACGCGGCAACGAATTTTATTTGACAGGGGCAAATAATGTACGACAAGTGCCATTATTTTTAGCGCGACTTAGTCTGAAATGATGACGAAAATATAGTTTAATTCCTCGCGAAATATTTCTCACATTTTTTCCGAATTCTAAATCCATCCTAGTGTTGCTTATCTTTATGCATTAATTTTACATCGTTTTTATTATAATTATAATCTCCAATATATAATCTCTAATTTCCCTTGCTATTAAATTGAATTAAATTATCACTGTAATTGAATTGTATTAAATCTTCATGCTAGCTGTCTCTCTCTCTCTCTCTCTCTTTCTCTCTCTCTCTGAGAAAGGGCAACTCCTGAAACACAATAATAAATTGTATTAATTTCCTCTTACACGATGGCTGGCGTCATAATTAATCTATCCGATTAAATATTATTATGCCGAATCGCGATCCGCCAGACGGTCGACTTTCGATTGCCTTTTTACGTAATCACTTGCTTTATCAGTCCCAATATAGGTCGGAGACGGCGAATGTATATTCGATATTCGTTAACATCGCCTCACGCCGATACGACAGATCATCGCGCGATGCGAATGGTTCCGGAGTGGAGAACACAACCGGGTGCAGTAGATAAAATCCTTGCGTCGGCCAGTCAATAACGAGTCCTCGGATAGCACCGATCGCAGCCGTGGCCACATCGGCCAAGTAGATTTTGCGCCGCAAACCGAGAAGCTTGCGAGTGTCCCGCGCGAAGAATATCGCGCGCTCGTTCGCCGAATTTTCAATATTCAATCGCGGAAGCTCGACCGTACTTACTTACGAGACACCTTGTACTCATCGCGATCCCTCGAATCGCGCAGCCGGTATTTAAACAGGCTCTTTCCGAGACCTGGTGATCTGGAGGTGTTTGAGGGGAAAGAAAGAGGAACAACCGAAAGAGAGACAGTTGTATCGCTCGGAATTTTCCGGAGCGATCCGCAGTATATCTGCAAGTTCGCTCGAATAGCAAACAGAGAGAGAGAGAGAGAGAGATCGTTCAGTCGCGGAGATTAGAAGCATTCACGACTGATGTTTGAAAAAATACGAGATCTCGTGTGAGTGCATCCGCGGAACATTATCGAGAGAATAATTCGAACCGGCGAAACAAACAACGGCTGACGAACCGGCGGCGTCTATTGTGATACGCATGACGATATTGTACCCGAAAGAAGAAGACTGGGAATAGAGGGGAGGGAGTGAGAAAGGGAGGAAGAGGAGGAAAGAACAGCCTCGCATCTAAAACTGGTGGGTCTCTTATGAACGGTCGCATTACAACGCGGAATTGGCAGTTAATTGCACACTCGACTCGCTCTCGTATCGTTTGAACGACCCGTAGCAGCGATCGATCGATGAGTGTGGATGAGATTTAAGGTATCTCGTAACGTGTCAGCGAATTCGTCGTCGATTATATAAACGTTGGATTGCATCGCGAGCGTACTGGAAAGAGCCGAGGGCGGGGGAGAAAATTAACGATCGAGAGAGAGCGGACGTTCGAATTAAAATCGAGCGGAAGCAGTGATACGAGTGATGCTTGCGAGAGATTAAAGACACCGATATATCGATATTCTCTTTTGTGCTTGAATAAATTATATGATAAAAGTACGGACGTTTGTTGAGAGTTTGTTGAGAGTTAACGCGCGTCACGCGGTGTTATTAACGGCCGACGTGGTTAATAATCGAGTTAATAAACGCGAGAAGTGAAAGAACTCATCATGAACAATAACACAGCGGACGGGATTAATAACCCGAACGTCAGTATTAACTCATCGATGTGTGTGGAAGTCAAGGTATGTACTTGCACATCTCTCCTCGGCGAAGTATCTTCCCGAGGTTTTACGACGTCTAAGAGTGCGATAAAACGCAAAAGAGCGAAAGCTCATGGAATTCCTTTCTTTCGCGTCGGTTATTCGCGAGTTTTTTTTTACAGCCTTGCTATCGCCCGAGTGTTTGAGCACGGTAATCGCCTGCTCTAATTATCTTTCTCTCCTATGACGATTTTTCGAAATCAGTTTGAAGAGATCATTAATAATCCCACTGAATGCGATGATAACGATTCGGAATTTTACTCGGATGTCTTGATATCGTAAAACACATACGCGATCATACCCGAGAGCGGCATTATCGGCAGATAGAGGGGTCATGATCGCGAGAAACCCTGATACGCCTCGCGATGAAATATATTCTTTCCGTCAGGCCAAGCATTGGACGATGTGCTCTCGACATCGTTAATAATCCGACGATCTTCCCTTTCTTTCGTATGCGACTCATCGATTCTATGAGATAATAAACTAACGAAAGACAGCGAAACGTAGAACAAAATTTTCATCGGCTGAACTTAATTCAAACGCTATATTTCAAGTTAGATAACTATATCATCATGAAGATCCAATTAAAACGATCTAAAATTAAAATCTGTCTTAATCTTCTTTTTTACAGGTGGAACCCGACGCCCGTGAGAAAAAGAGATGGGAGCGGAAAGGAGTAATTTATCAAGTATGCTGAAGTATTTTTATCTTTCTAAAAACGTAAACCGCAGCGCGTTACGTTAAATATATCTCTTAAAAAAAGAGCAGCAAATCTTGTTGCATTAACCAGAAAGGAAACAACCAAACGCGTTGAAGGCTGAAGGAAAGGGAATTTCTGATTCTTACAACCAGAATCTTCTATCAGAATGCATCTGACTGTTTCCTTCCTAGTTAATACAGACTTTTTCTCCGTGCGTCAATGACGACGTCACACAATAATTATTAAAAGCAGATACAGATCATTTGCGTAGGAATAAGAAGCATGTTTCATCGCCGGGTGTCATTACTGGAACCTTTGTTCTGTCAGTTAATATTGAAAACAGACAGCTCATCAATATTAATTATTTATTACAAGATACTCTCCTTAATATCGATTCTCGCGTTTTGTCGATCGCACGGATGAACGAACGATGAAAAATATGTGTGTAATACTCCGCTACACACTATTTACAATCGAGTGTACAGTAATAGTATAGTAATTATGCAGAAATTAACATATGATTGTTGTACACGCAATTTCACAATAGACATCGCAATGTGTGGGACTTTTGAGATGTGATGTTATCGCAGCGCTGACACATCCCGTTTCTCACTCGTCGTTTCCTCTTTGCGTTCATCTCGGATGCATCCTTCGTGCGTGAAGTCGCGGAATGTGCAAAAACAAGATGAAATGTAAATTTAATGACGAAATCAAAACAGGATATGTAGTAGTCGCGATCTGCTCTGGAAAATTCATATTTTACCGGTAAATTATACGGATCACTAAAACACGTGTTCACGTTCTTGATGATTTATTATTATTAATCGGGAGCGAGAAGTCCACAAAAAAGTCGTCGCATTGCAAGCGATCGAAGACTGAGATATATATACGAAGATATATACGAAGAACATGAAGTATATACGAGCGTGAAAATATAAAATCATCGGCTTCGTTGGAAAAAAGGGGAAGAAGAATGCAAGTATTACCACACTTGCTCCGATTCTTATTCGCGCCACGTTGATTTATATTTACATTTCAATAGCGCTAGTCAGCTAATCTCCGGTATTCTTCGCTTTGCGCGAAACAACGCTATTCTTGATATACATCTGTTTCCATTTGCATGATATCTGTCGTGGAGTCTCTCCGGCATGTAAATGTTGGGATAATGCAGCAATAAAAGTTAATACGTGACTACATACAGAAAATGGCAAATATGTGACACCGTGACTACTCGAGCGACAGGCCGAGCTTCGCGATAAATTCCTCGAGAAAGTTATCGCTCGAGAAAGGGAATACAAAATATTACGATCCAAAGTGACGATAAGACTCTATATGTATTATGATTCGTGCTATTAATTCGGCGCGCGTCACCGCCGATTTAACCCGCAGATAATATTGAAAGGAAGTTTTAATTACAACTACCAAGATTTGATGAATACGTTTCAAGCAAATGTTTCATCATTTTGTTTGAAATCATTTAGTTCCATATATCATATCATAGGCTAATATTCACAGTCAAATCTTATGTTTAAGATCATATTAAGTTAGTGAATAAAACCAGGTGGGAACACATATAAGAAATTTCTATGAAATCTCATGGTTATCTTTGAGGATCTGTACTAAAAACCCAGGCTCCAAACAACAACATTCCACGTGAATTCCACGTAGAAAACAAATCCGTTGAATCAATAAAATTTCCAACAGCAACGCGTTTGGAGTAAATCTTGGTTCAATAATAAATATCATTAAAATGTATTGTGTTGTATTGCGTATTATATGTACTGCATTGCGCATTGTTTCAATAATTAAAGTATTAAATTATATATTAATTCAATATTCAATTCAATAGTTTCAATGATAGCGCCATTGAATCAAGAGGACCCACCCCAATCACGCGTGTTGTTGGAAATTCTATTGATTCAAACGTTTCTTTCTCCGTGTATGTGGATTTTCACATACTATGCGGATTCCTATATAGATTTCTAATATCCTGTACGTGATTTACACGAGTTTCTTTGGATTTCCGTTGGAATTCATCTGGGAAAGTTCGACAATAGTATCACCGAAAATGTAGGTGCACAGCGCTTTGCACGAGTCATTATTATTGCAGCCAAGCGGCTCGCACGATCAATCAGCTAAACGTCGTGATTTCATGGACGAGTCCTCAAGACGTTGTTTAATTGCCGGCCACCCCACCTTCCGTCCGTGCAGTCGTTCGTTAAACCGGTTCTAATATTACCCGCATGCATAATAGCCGCTGCAGGGGACGGCGCGATAACAGAGTTGCTTAGACAAAAACCCGATGCACTTTTCGTTAACCTCAGCCTCCGGTGGCGGTGCTTCGCTCTGCGACTGTTTATCGTCGCTCGACTTTATGTAAATCCGACGATTTTTAACTATCGAACTCACCAGCTTGCGCGTCACATCTCGAGACAACGCAAATAAGTGACGCACGAAAAATCATTCCTCCGTTCCGCCGAAGCACGCCGCTGAATTTTCAATACGAATCCCTCTCGATCCTCAGTGCGTGACTTCCCTCGCACGGAGAAAACAAATTTGGTTAGAACGGCAAATGTTTGCCAACATAATGACGCAAACAAGATTCGTTTAGACAGCAAAAAATGTGTTTGGACAAAATAAGATTTGTTAAGAGTATGAATTGTCCATGTATCCAGCATATAGCAATTAGTACCCTTAATAAATCCTTTGTGCTATCCAAACAAATTTTTTGCTGCTACTGTATTGATAAACCTTTGTTCTCTCCGTGCGGTGTTATCTCTGATCTCTCTCCTTTTCGTGACTCGCGATCTTCTTCCCGCAGGTGTTGATGGGCTTGTGCGCCAATGCCACGGTAGTGGGACCAGCGATGGGTTTCGGCTACAGCGCAGTGGCATTGGGCCCGCTAACCTCGCCAACCAGTGACGTGCAACTTGACGCTGCTCAGGCGAACTGGGTTGGTCAGTGATGCAGAAATTACTCCCTTGATTGTAGTTGCTTCTCTCCGGCTCACAGTCGACTCTGTTCGATCATCGCTCAACGGAACAGAAGTTTGCCTCAACTATTGCGTCAGTCGTAAAGCTCGCTTCGATTTTCAATTAATAGCGTCATGTATACGTAATGATAAACAGTGCTGATAATCCTTATACGTTGGAAGAACTTGCAAAAATTCGCCGGTGATGTGTCGGTAGTCCAAAAGATAAATCATTTTACAGATATTGAATCGGGGAATTACCTGAGAGTGACAGAGAGCGGCCGATAACTATTGATAAATAATCATATCTCGATTGGACACATAACATGTATCGTTACTATTAACAAGAGAAGTCTGATTAAAAGCCAACGAACTTTTGCAAATTAAAGAAAGCGAAGGACGACGATAAGATTCTTACATATTTCTTACCGTTTTATACTGCGTCATTTGAAACGTTCAATTGTGAGTCAACACGTCCAGTCGTGCGAAATGACACGACTTAAAACGACAAGAAGCGTGCAAGGAAAACATCAGCTTAATAACGCTCTTGTATCCGCGACGTTGCTTAGTTGGTGAATTTTCTTTCCACACCGAGCACAGTCGAATCGAGCCGAATTTTTTCAAACTGACCCAAGATCGTTGTTAGTGAAAATGACTTCTGATTCGATTGCGTAGCAACCGCGTCGGCATTGGGTACGCCCGTCGGCTGCCTGCTGTCGAGCGTCACGATGAGGCGAGGGAGAAGAGTCAGCCTGCTCGTGACGTCGCTGCTCTCGATGGCGGGTTGGGTGACGATCTACCTGGCGAATAATTACGAGCAGATCGTGGCGGGCAGAGTGATCTCCGGTGTGGCCACCGGCATGGCCTCGGTGCCGACGACGGTGTACGTGGCGGAGATAGCGGGCCCGAAGTGGCGGGGCACGATGGTCACATGGACGAGCATCTCCATCGCCCTCGGTGTCCTCATCGTTTATGTATTCGGCTATATTTTCAAGGTGAGCGATTTTCGCACGACAGATACCTTCTACTAACGGCAGCGAATGCATCACGTTAATGGCCCGCGGAGTGAAATTTATTCGGAGTTGCGACACTTCGACACGCGCGGCTCGAAGTCTCTCTCTTTCTCTCGCCCAACTGGAGTTGTAATGTCGGCTATTTTATCGCCGTCGCGCTCGAGACATCGATTGACTTGTCTGGTGCCTGTTGAAAGTGGTCGCCGTAAATTACAGTTTGAACGCGAAATTTTTGCGCTCCGCCAGTGCGACACAAAGTACGATCGACAGTGAATAATTTATCGGGTCTCTTTATCTCTCTGTCAAAGGACAACTGGCGAATGGTGTCCTTAATGTGCGCATTATTCCCGCTGCTGTCGATCGGCCTTACCTTGCTGGTGATACCGGAGACTCCGCTGTGGCTGCGGGACCAGAATCGCCCGGACGAGGCGTTGAACATCCTGAAGAAGTTCCGCGGCGTGCCGAAGGACGAGGCGGCGCCGGCCGAGCTCCTCTTCGAGCTGAAGCCGCGGCCGCAGAAGAAGAAGCAGAACCTGCTTAAGCACTTGCTCAAGAGGAACGCCATGATGCCGTTCATCATTATGCTCGCCTACTTCTTCTTCCAGCAGTTCTCCGGGCTCTTCGTCGTCATCTACTACGCCGTCGACATCATCGTCAGCTCAGGAGTCACGTTGGATCCTTACCTCGGCGCCGTCCTGATCGGCTTGACCCGGCTCGTCGGCAGCCTCCTGGTGGCCGGTGTGTCCCGGAAGTACGGCCGGCGAATACCGTCGATCGTCTCTGGCATCGGCATGGCCGTCTTCATGGGCGGATTGTCGACCTACCTCTTCTTGGAGGACAAAGGGTACATCATCGAGGACGGCGGAGTGATCCCAGCGGTGTGCGTGCTCATGTACATATTCGCCAGCACACTCGGCTTCCTGGTGATCCCCTTCGCTATGGTGGGCGAGGTGTTCCCCTCCAAGGTCAAGGACATATTGTCCGGCTTGACGACCTGCATAGGCTACATCTTCAGCTCGGTTTCCATCAAAACCTACCCGGACATGTTGGATGCCATGGGCAAACACGGTGTGTTCCTCTTCTTCGCGGTGACGTCCTTGGTCGGCGCTGTCTTCGTCACGATATGCCTGCCCGAGACGAAGGGCAAGACTCTGCGCGAGATCGAGGACATGTTCTCGAAGAAGAAGAACACCTTCGAGCTGCAGCCGACGGAGACCGTGGTCGGTCCGAAGGACACCTCCGTCGGCTTGTTACATTGAAGATATTTACTGCATTTGGTTAGAAATCACAGCCAGAATGATGTTGAGGGTTCGGAAGAGGAGGAGCTCGGGGTGCATTTTTCACGCGGATGGCGCACAACCGACGGAAGAAATAAGACGGATATCGTCGCTTTGTGATACTTCAACGCGCGGCGATTCAAGATATTCGCAAGGTCGAAATCAGTGATGCAATGGCGCTACAATAATCTTCTTCTCAAGTCCTCAAGGTCAGATCTCTTTTTGCGCGTATATTATTTTAAAACGTGGAAAAAGAGATTGAACGCGGAGACGTTGGCGTAGCGTTCGCAAAGAGAAGTAATATATGCTGTCATTTCAAGAAACTGATTGCCACTTGGATGAAAGTTCTACTGTCCGAATGGCATGCGGCTTTACACGCGACTTTACCTGCCCGGTTTTAAAAGATCGCGCAAATAGTGCCATTTATTGATAATTATTTTAATATGCAAAGTACGTATGTGAATTAAGATTTCCTCTAGTCCGAAAGTTACTTACAAGAGAAAGAGAGATCCGTAATCTCAGAAGTGACATTTTGAGCGGCATATATTTCGTATTATTATTATTATTTAATTTTTATTATTTACTGACATTTCACGATTTAATATATATGTATTTGCTGGTCAATAATGCGAGTGTAGCGAGATTTTCGAGATAAATCCCGATTTTGTAATATCATCATATTGCGAAAAATACTCTGACGTTATACAGAAGAAGGCAAATTAAAATCTCGGCGATATCGTTTATCGTTTTCAATTTCTGGATTAATCGAACTACTTCAAACGATATCGGCGCCAAGCATCGATAACGCGTATAATTAATAAAGTGCAAAAATTATCGTTGATAAAGTGTTATAATATTGTCATTGTTAGGAGTGAAAAACATCGCGTCGAATATTTGAAGAACTGCACTCAAGAACGTGCGATCGCCCTTATCTGAGTGCTGAAAGCTATTAGACTGCGTAGTTAAGCAAACAGAAGTTTATAGTTTGTGTCGGCAACGCGTATTTCGCGGATTTATGCGGATTTACGCGGATTAAATGCGACTTACTTTACGATAAAACCGAACGAAGTGCGACGATAGCGATCGAGAGCCAGCCGATAACGGCGAAGATAGCATTCGCGTTCGCGTGTCATCGATATCTAATATTATCTACACAAGGCTGAAGAGCGCTCTAATGCTTGCGATAATAAATATCCGGGACCTGAGTCGTCCTGTAACAGTCCATCTTGCGATCAGTCAATCCCTTTTGTACGAAATATTTTTCCGCAGCGAAATCGAGAGACGACGTCGAGGGCGGGTGTTTTCGAGCGATAGACTGTAAGACACGATTGTATGTGAATCAAATCTTGATTAATTAATTTACAATCTATACTCAAGGTGTACCGGAGATGTACTGTGACATAAATACAAATACACGTACGCATATATATATATATATATATATATATGCGCATCTCATATTTTATTCTCTTACTTTTAACATTAAAATCTTAAATAATAAATTAACAAATGACGTAACAATCACGATAATTAAATAACAAACACAATGTACAGTTTACGAGTGTGAAAGCGTGAATGGAGAAGGGGGGGGGGGATATGAGCGAGGTTCGGTGGAGAAATAAGGCGAGAAAGTATAGAATGAACAACTACCATAACTGCTGACGATAATGACGGTAATAATAACGTAAGTAATGCGATAGTAATGATGATAATAATAAACGCAATTAAAATTAATAATAATATAGAATAACCATAATATTAATCAAATAATTATTATAATAACACGATGCAAACGCAGAGAGACGCTGGATAATCGAAATAAATATTATTATCTGCGAGGTGGTACGTCGAGAGAAATAATTTTCGCCGAGGATCGCCGAGTTCCGTTCGGAAACGTGTTCAGAAACCGTTTCGGAGAAACGGTGTTTTCCTCTCTCACTATCTCTCCCGAGTCTCCTCGAGCATTATTATAGAGTAAGGTCTTTCAAACGGCTCTCTTTCTCCCTTGTTGAACCTTTTTTCTTGCTCCCAGAATTGCACCGCACCACCTCGCATCGTGACAATTCAAGTATCGGAGACGATGCGACGAAGATATATGACGAAGATGACGAGGTACGTGCGCGATAATTTAATAACACTAAGACGCTCGGTGTGTACACTGAGAGAAAAAAAAACGGTTGGATCGTTAAAATCGACGGTCACTCTCGCTCAAAGAAACGTTATGTCCACTGAACAAATTACAATGTTGTCGCAGCAACGTGTTGCGTTGATGTAATTGCTGGCCAAATCGCGATCCTTGCATCGACTGTTTACTCACTACAAGAATTATGTAATTCGTTCAGTGGGCTCTATACGTTGCGCTTGAAAAGAAATCGCGTTCATTCGAGCAAAATCTCGTTGATTCGGCTACACTTTTCCTCAGTATAGAACGAAAAGAAAAAGAAACAAGAACGCGACGTCGCCCTGTGAGCACGCGTACTAACGGCTTTCCACGCAACGGAACGCGAGAGTTACTCGCGTTTCTACTAGAGAATAGAATTAACAATAAAATCTTAAGTCTCTCCGAGTGAAAAAGTGCTCCCCTGCGCGGTCTCGCTTTGAAGTTTTTCTCACGTGCGGGATCCACTTCTGCGCGAGAGGATCTTGAAGAGTGTTATAGACGCGCCCGTTCAGTGCGGTCGATTAACGATACGCATATTCCGACGGAACAAACTTAAGCTACGACGACACACACGTTTAAACTCGAAGAAGCCATCGGGTGGTTCCGTCCTGACTGTCAGTCTTCTTCTTCCCCGATCACCCTCAAGTATCGATTTTATAACCGAAGTGCTGTACACACAGATCGCTCGGACTTGACCCTGGTACTCTTCACCGCGATATCTCTTTTGTTAGACGCGGGAGGTCTCGTCAGCACAGACGAGCAGTCGCCAGACGATTAGTGGTAGTCAGACTGGGCGTGACAATTTTTCTAAAACAGTCCGCGCACGTGCTCGAGGCTCAATGATCACCGGTCTCCGATTCAGCAAGGATACCGTGAATGACCGCGACGTGACCGATCCATGGATGTAGAAGTGTAAGGGTACAGTGTAAGCTGAGTTTATGGACAGGGAGGATGAAGCCGATTTGAGGGTATCTCTAAAACTGTGCCTGGATTTGATTGGTTGAGTTGTACTCATGCGCAGTACCGCTAATTATAAACGGAGTGATAAGAACATGAATATATAATTCAGTGATAAGTGAAAAATTCATAATATAATGAGTAGGAGGCGATTCTATGCGAAAATTCGTAAGAAAAGAATAACATTTTTTTTTGTTCGAACCTTCGTTTTCGAGATAGTCGGGGTTAAAGTTTTGTAGAGTAAAGAAGAATTCGGCCAATCCTCGGCCGAATATTCTATATACAAGAAAGTTATTCTAAATGTAAAAACCAGTCGAAAATGTAGAATAAAATGTGTATCCATGGGCCGCATCCTGTACGCGAACATTCAATAATAAAATCGTGGAGAGCAATTATTAATAATTAATAATATAAATATTAATAAAACAGCTAAAATAATGGAAAAAATAGACGGTTTTTGGTTCCTACTTGGTGAATAGAAGCTCTCAAATCGACGCATTAGTCATTTTTAAGATATCTTTAAGCGTTTATTAAGAAATCTCACGATGATCTTTCTTAAGGAACTTGCGCACGGTAAAAAACCAATCAAAATCAGGCACAGGTTTTCACCCCCTCTCTCTGTGGCTTCATCCCTCTGTGATTACATCTTTATATTCCTACATCCATGGACCAGTCGTAATCATCCATCGCTATGATTCGATCATACATATGGAACGTTGAAATTATTCCGGCAAGCTCGAGTGAAATTGAAATTTCGCTATTAAAAGTGCAATACCGTTACCTATAAGACATCCATTAAACGATTAAAGTAATTACTAACAATAATTGCTAATTGTTACGTTGATTTGAGCGGTACGACTCGATAATAGGAAGCCGGGCGTCGTTTTGGAAAATCCGAGGGAGCAAACGTGATGAACGGAAGGCGGTGCGACACGGTGCGAAGCGGGCTCGAGATTTCACTTTTCACGCAACTTAAGACTCGGGGATTTTTGAGACTCGTCCGCGCGCATACGTTCCCGCACTTAGGGCTCACGTCGGGGAACGGTCGAATTAGCTAGCTTAACGATCTAGTAATGTCAGTAAAGCTCTGTTGGCGCCGGAGATCGAATACTTGCCACCTGTTCAGCCTGTATACAGTCCTCCCTAATGTCAATAAAGCTTCGTTGGATTCGAAGAGCCTCTTCTTAGCTGCTGGTCCTCCGCGTCGCGCCGGCGAAACGGAAGCTCTGTGCGAGACGCACGAGACGACGTCGCTCGATCGACGATCGGCTTACTGATGTAATCGACCGACGATCGGCCTCGGGCCACGACTCGATTCGTCTCTACGATCGCTGTCTGTGTTCTTCGTTGTCCGTGAAGATTCCAGAGCGCAGCTCTCAGGTCGAACCGGACGACGAGTGCGATCGAGCGCTCGTCGAAGAGACGAAGTCGCGTCTACGATGTCGCTGATCCGACCGGATCCACCTTCGTCATGACCGTCGCGCTTCCTCTACCCTACCGGCTCTCGAAACGAAAGACGAAGGTGCTCTGAGGCAGCGCGAGATTGCCGATGGGGACCTTGTATTTCTCCTTCTCCACCGGCAGTATGTTGAAGTTCTTCAGCAGGGTGGCTATCGTCGAGAAGCTGATGTATTGGACCATCTTGTAGCCCATGCAGGACCTCCGGCCGCCGCCGAAAGGCAGGAAGTGCTCCGGCTTTTGGAGTCTGCCGTTCTGCACGAATCGCTCCGGCATGAACTCCTCCGGGGAAGTCCACAGCTCGTCCGACATGTTCAGGTCGTAGTTGTTCAAGAAAATGAACGTGTCTTTCTCGATCTTGTAGCCTGAAACGGAAGATCATGCGAAGTCAGCAAAATTTTCTGAAGCGTCACCCTGATTTCGTATTTTCTTTTTTATATATCGGACAGTCTAAAATTAATCAAATTCGCAGAAGTCGGAGGTAGGTAGATTGCAAATCTCCCACATTGTGAAGCTCAGCAAGTCGCTCGCTTCGAATTGGCCGACGCAGCGAAAAGTACGTGCCATTCGAGAAACCGTTCCAATAAAATATTGCAGAAAGAGAGAGAGAGAGAGAGAGAGAGAGAGAGATATCTACTCACCGGCTATGGAACTATCCTGGTTGGCGACGTGCGGCACGATCGGGCTTGCAATCAGCCTGATCGCCTCGAGAATGATGGCTTCCGTGTATGGCATATTTCCTCTGTTCTCCAGGCCGACGAACCTTCCCGAAGTCTCGACCCGATCGATCTCCGCCTGTGCGATTTTCTGCACGTGCGGTCGAGTGACCAAGTAGCCCAAGATCTTGATGAGGAGGTTGCCGACCGCCGAATGGCCGCCGATGATATCCTCCAACGCGAACATCGCCACGTCCCAGTTCATTTTCGGCTCGGCGTCGGTCTTCACGTGATTGATCAGGCAGTCTACGTAGTCTTCCTCGGGTATCACCGACTTCCAGTCGGACAAACGGTCGCTGATGATGTCCGTGTCCACGAATTTCCTGATCTCGTGGCTCCAGTTGGCCATCCTCGACATGTTTCTCGAGTGCAACGGCATGAGGAACGGCATGAAGTCGGCGGCGTAGCCCTGGTTCACCTCGTAGAACACCTTGTCGAAGTTCTCGATCATCTCGCGGAAGGGGGCGTATTCCAGGCCGAAGCGCCGCGAGCAGAAGTACTTGACAAAGACGTTTGCGCACGTGTGCAGAATCAGCGACTTCGCGTGCAACGCACTGCCCGAGGTGGCCGCCAGGTGATTAACCAAGGAATCCATCTCGGCGCCGATGATGCCGTTCAGCTGGTTGTACCGCGTGGTGAAGGCGCGCGGGAAAGTGTGCGCCCGCAGCATTTCCCTGCGTGTCTTCTGGACGTCCGACCAGTTGCAGAATGCCAGGGCTGCGGAAACGAAGGGAAAGAAAGACCGATTAAGTCGTCGCCCCGTTGCAAATAAGCTCTGCTGGACGCGAAGGTACGCGAATATACGTTTTTAATTTTAATTAGTTAACTGAAACATCTACGGAGATAAAAGATTAGTTGAATTAACGCGAACGAACGTATCTTCGAAGGAAACCGAATTTCCGGTTCCTATGAACCAAATTTGAGTCTTGAACGACGCGAAGGGAGCAAAATTTCGAGTTCTCGTGAACCAAATTTGGTTCTTAAAACCACAAATTTGGTTTCCTTCAACGATCGCCATTTGGTTCGTTTGTGTCGCGTCGATTCAATCCATCTTTCTTCTCTGTGTGAGAACACTCATCGATGTGTGAAATTGCAGCTGATATTTACAAATTAGTAACTATCGACTCGATCTGAATTATTTTGGATGTTAAACCATTATTACGTCACGGAAAAATATTAATCATATATATAAATCAATGATAGATATTCTCAATTATAAGGATATTATAATCTTCTTAGAACATGTTTAGTTTTGATTTGATTGAATTTCTATTGATGCAAGTATTACTTGAATTCGATTCAAGACCAAAAAGCTTCTAAAAAAAATTAAAATATCGTTGCTCATATATGAGAATATCTGTCATTGATTTAAGACTATTTTTTTCCGTGATTACACATAAAAATGAGTTTGGTTGGATCTACTTGATAATGGATAACCAAAGTTATTTTGGTTGAAGGAAACAGAATTTCTCGCAAGAACCAAAGTTAATTCACGAGAAGCTAGAAATTTCGTTTCCTCCGACCGAGACGCGTTCGCATCGTCAGATAAATTTAACCAAACTCATTTCTCAGTGTAATTTCACTCCCGTCAGTCCCGGCATTGTGCTTTTAAAATTACTTCAACATTGCCGGCTGACTTCTCTCATCGTCGAAAGCAATTTCTAACGACTTGCGACAAAAACAGCTGACGTCGGAATGACGCGATTCGGCGAACGTGTCGCGGCTCAAATGACTGAATCGAGAAAGGGACGAGCGGCACGGCGGCGTCAAACTTGACCTCGTCAAACATCCTGTCGCACGTTTCGAAACGTCGTCGGCTCGCGGGAGAGAAAAATCCGTCGACGCACGCACCCTCTCCGCTTTCGCGCCTTCTTCCCGCACCTTCGCACGCACTACGCACGCGGAAATACAACGCGGACATCGATCGTTGTCCAGCGGACTCGGCAGAAAAGCGATCGCCAAGCGGTAGGCGCGCTCGCGATATGAAATCGAAGCGGCGGCCACACGCGAGTGGAGACGGCAACAGGAAGTGACCCGGTTTCTCGGCTGCGCCCGAGAACCTGAAGAGCGGCCTTCCCGGCGAACGTGATCGGCTCGAAACGAGAGGGTTAATTATCCCACGAGATGAGTGACTGCTTGTCTGATCATTTCAATCGCGAGACTCTCGGCAGTTCGCGATGTTCTCAAGCAAGCGTGACGTAATTGAAAAAAAAAAAGCGCTGTATCAAGTAGTCAATCAACGTCACCGTCGAAAACGAATAACTTTCCGTCACACCGGAGGGAATTTCCGTCATCAAGAGGAGACTGCGCAAAATCGCGATTAATCGGCATTCCATTTATTGTGCCGCATGACGTAAATAATCGTGGGATTGTGTAATCGCTATTCGCTGTCTCGAACAAACGGAGAAACGTTCTAGAAGCGACCGTGGAAGTCGCCTCGCAGTGAAAAGTGTGCGTGAAAATAAAGTATACCGCCGTAATGGACAGGAGCGCGCGATGGAAAGGGTTAAAGCGGTCGTCTTGGATCGCGAAACACGGCGGCGGCCGCGGCAGCAATTCTGGTGAATCAGCCTTGATCCTGTTTGCCGGCTGCCGGGTGAGCCAGGAACGCGTGAAAGTGGTACCGTGACCTTTCCGGCTGCACTTGGTACCGCTTCTGCGTTGACCTTAGCACGAGTTTCGGACGGTCGCACGAAGGAGGCGAAAGCGCACGAGGAAGGAGCGTAAATCGCGGTTTTCGTGCACGCGCATACGTCGCTCACGTGTCGCGTGCATTCGCGACAAGGTCGTTAGCGAGCTTTCAGAAGCCCCCGAAGACGAGAGGCGCTAACGAGCGGCGGGATTCGCGATCGGGACGATAAATCGTAATCAGCCGGAATTTCTTTCGCCGAGGTGGGCCGGAACGGCTAACTGTGACCCAAAGCACACGCTGCTTTTATCTCGGCGAATGTGTGCGCAGACCTAATTCGCAGTGATTGCGCGAGCGCAATCGGTGTCAGTTTCGACGGGCGATCGGAAAGTGTTTACTGCTAATGAGTTGTTTCCAATTATCACCGGCCCGTTGCGACGAAGCGATCGGAAAGAGCTTTGTTTTGATAAACACGCAAGGTGTTCTAGGCCGACTACTTTGGTTACGCATTGCGACATTGTCTATCATTAGCTTTTTCTCGCGAACGTTTTGTTGTTAGCATTTAATTAAATGCCTCTGCGTCGTTTATAAATTAACTTCAACATTCGCGTTGTCAATTAGGAGAATTTTTTAATAACGGCATTTTTTTCTCGGATTTCTATCCACAGCGGATAGAAATATGCGGATAGAAATCCGAGAAAATGTAAAAGCTTCGTTCAAGAATTTTGAAAGGAAAAATATAAAACTTGCTACTGGAAGGCTGAAAATAACAGCGGATTCACTTTTATTAATATTATATGATATGTCGTTAGATGAATTTTATTTCGAAATGTAGGCGTAGGTCAATAGAAAATTGTCGTCGTTGGGAAATCACGTTGAGAAATTATTACGAGATCCCGATACGAAATTATACAATGTATCGATGGTTATTAATATTGATCACTTTCCACCGCCTCAGGTAGTAAATATAGCTTGCATAACCAGATTAGATAAATATCATTGATCTATTCTTGTTCTAATATATTAACAATGCAAATCAGTTACCGTATCCGTTCCAAGGTATTTCACACTTTTGTTACCAAGTTCTCTCCTGTACAAAGCTTCTATGGACCGATTTATACGTTCTTTTATTCTTATTTCCACCTATATCTAGATAATTTATTCGATATAAAAAAAACAATGCTTCGAGTTTGCAAATTGTGAGCGATCCGGCGGAGATTCTCGATCGGTCGCGAGGGAAGAATAGAGGAAAGATCAAGATAAAAGATACAAGAAAGCTCCTTACAGTTCTCTTTGTTGCCGCAGAAGAGGAGATGATATCTGACGAAGTTCGGCCTCGAGTCGAAGTATTGGCCCTTGGCGATCAAAACTTCCTTGATATTCTCCAGCCCGTTGACGACGACGCAAGGCACGGAGCCCAACTGGAGCTTGACCACCTGACTGTTGTAGGTTTTGGCGAGGTCGGCGAAGGCTTTGTACGGTACATCGTAGCGTCCCAAAATATGAAGGGAGCCCAAAACCGGCCAGGGTTTGGGTCCGGGTGGATCCGTCAGGGACTCTTCACCGTCGTACAGCTTATTCTTCAGCGCTTTCTTCGACCTCCTCTGATCTATCAGGACCAAGATCAAGGCCACTATAGTGAAGGCCAATAGGAAGCACGTGGTGAGGCTGATAGAGATCATCCTTCGGCACAATCACAGCTTTCTTCACTTCAGAAAGAGAGAGAGAGAGAGAGAGGGGCCCTCTTGCTTCTCTTCTTCTTCTTTCTTCTCCTTTTGCTCCTCGCTCTTTCTCTCTTTCACTTTCCTTCTCTTTCCGATGACGTCCCGGGAGAGATGTCCCGCGGCGCTCTTTGAAGTTTCGTCGGACAGGTCCCGCTGCGAGAGCACGCTCGACGTTCTACGATTTCGGGCCGAGCGGAGATTTAAATCCCCTCTGCGTGGGAATTCTCGCTCAGGTCGAGGCACGTGGCTGTCGGTGAGACGTTGATTCGGCCGCGCGGCGGAAGCTCGTCCGCTGCTCGTCACCCAACCCCGAACAATCGCTCTCTCACTTCCCTATGAACGTGTCAACGATGTATCGTCTCTCTCTCGAGGGAGAGAGAGAGAGAAAAAAAAGCGATGGCTGGATGTGATATCTCCGGCGCGAACGGCTATCGGCGAAACGACGCCTCGTGACCGATCGGGACGCAAGCTCCTTGTGGCCCGTCTGTGAACGGTTCGCCGATCTGGCTCGGTCTGTGGGGATAGGATGGTTGCCCGGCTATCTTATATAGTCGGCGTAATGTAGTCAGCACATTTGCGTCGGCTGTGCGCCTCAACCCCATACATATGGATTCGTGTTGAGACGAGGTGGGCAGCAGGAGGAGGCAGAGAAGGAGGAGGAGGCGGTGGAGGAGGAGAAACAGGAGGAAGAGGAGGAGGTGCAGGAAGAGGAGAAAGAGGAGGAGGTGGACACTCTCGCACGGGTCGCGAGAGGAGTACCCCTCTGCCGTTGCCGCTCCAGCGGAGACGAATTTCAAGAAAACCTGGAGAGAGACGTACTCTCACTCGCGCAGGGCGGAGGACGAAGGGCCGGAGGGATGATCGTCGCGGGTCTCCTCTCGGGAGGAGGAGGGGGAGGGGAGGAAGGGAAAAAGGGAGCCGCAGGCGGTGGAGCAGGGAGCAACCCGTGGAAGAGGAGAGAGGCGGTGGGGAGAGAGAGGAGTCGCCGGTAGGACCCACACCGGGCAAACGAAGGGACGCTTCTTGCCCTTGACTTCTCTCCTTAAGGTGCCATCGGGTTTTCTGGCAGCGAGGAGGTGGTGTGCTCGCAGCCGGACTCGTGCAACGACTCTCCGCAGCTGCGCCGGGACATACCTATTATTCCGACGTACTCTCGCGGGACGGCGGGTCGATTCGGTAATTTCGCTTTTGGTACACAACAACAACCGGCAGCGGGACGACGGCGATACGTGGACGGAGAAGGTTCGTTTTTCGCGAGCCGGCCGGCTGCTCGGACGCTTTCGGACGAGAGGAGCGGGCGGGAGAGCCGGTAGCGCGGCAAGAAGGTGGTTTATGCACGAGCGTCCGGATGCATCGAGAGAAAAATGAGAGGAGGAGATCCCCGCGACTTCTCGTTCTCACCGTCGGAGTAGGAAGAAGAGGAACAGCGGGAGGAGGAGACTGAGAAGATCGGTTTTCTTGGTGCGGCAGTACGACTCGGGTCAGTCATACGAATGAAACGTTCAGCGTTCTGGGATCGTCGGGGAAGTCGTCCGGGATACTTAACCGAGACCGCCGAGATTATTCGTCGCTGCTGTTGTCGTTGGCGACGGAGAATTCGCGACGTCCACTGCGAAGGATCGCAGTTCGCGTCGCGGATTTATCCGGGATTTATTTATTTATAGTCGTCTCGTGAGATATCGAAGCGAGAAAATAAATGCATCGCTATAACGTTCTCGGAAAGATTTACTGTTTTGTAACAGTCGTTTGGGGCGGCCAGACTTTGTTTACGTCTGGAGAAACGACCAGACTTTTCTACTGTGCCGCTCTCATCGGGAAAAACCGATCGCCCGATCTTGAATCCGAAATTCGTCTCAGCAGGATGTTGAATGGCGTTATGTAACGGTGCGACAACTATGCGAATGCGTACCGTTCTCGTCGAGAAGGAAGTGAAATGTACAATTCTAATGTCTTCCTCTCGTTTCATGTTAATTTAGTTTACAGTCGTAAGTATAGTTTAGACGGGAAACAAACAGACCTTATCGATCCTTGAATCTCCTTCGGAATCATCGATCAGCCCGAGCAAGTATATCCATCTAGTCTTATCGTTATGTCGAATCGATAGTAAAATACAATTATTTCGAAGGAAGGGAAAGATTGAAGTGTCGAGATCGTATCGGGATTTAAATTTTCGTCCTGAGGAGAGATCTAACGTGTGTCCTCATATCTTTCATTCCACACGGGAAAACAATTCCGTTGGTTTAAATGAAATTTCCGTTGCCTGGGGACGAAAATTCGGCTGCAGGAATAGAAATATTTCTGTACGAGGCTGAGTCGAAATTTCAGTTCTACATTACGTCTGTTTAGTTCTACACTGAGTCTCCAAGGTCTTGCACCCCTGTTGATGGTTATAAATGGAAAGATATTTCTGTTTTCTCTATTTGAAGACTTAATGTAGAATTTAAAATTCCACCCCGGGAGATTTAAATTCCCTTTGTAGCATCGAAGGAACACTATTAATGCTTCTTTGATGCCAACAAATGGAAAGTTACTTCCGTTTTCTCCACTTGAAGACTTAATGTAGGGCCAACATTTCGACTCGGGGGGTTTCTACTCAACCAATTGTTCTCAGTTATACCCGATCAAGTTTTAACACAGCCGAATGTTCACACGAATATTTTTCAGCCGCGGCAACCGAAATATCCCTTCTTGCCACCGAATTCCTTTTTTCTCCGTGCACGAAAGTGTAAATTGTTACCAAAAAATACCTCTGGCGTCGTCCCTCTTCGATAGATCACATTGGATATCGGGCAGATTTCGGGCGACTGGTTTCCGAAGGGTCAGAAATAAGATCAGGGTAGCTTCGACGAGATTCTCTTCCACCGATCGTGCGTTCCTGTGAGGAAATGTGAATCGTACCGGCGGCTCAGGGGGGAGAAGGAGAGAAAGAGAGAGGATTCGTTATTCGTACGAGGAAGCACGCGAGAGAGCAGAAGTACACCTCTCGAATTCGTTCGAGAATTAATGAATAAGGCATGAGTTGTGGTGGTGCGTAAATGTCCCCCTCCCCCGTCGTCGAGTTCTCCCGCGAAACACGCACACCCCCCACCGGTCAGTGCCGCGCTTTTTTTCCCTCTCACTCGCCGCAACAGTAGGAGATTACTTCATCCGTATCGAGTGGTATTATCGAGAGTCGATTTCTGGGAAGCTAGCGGTACCGGCTTCTCTCGCCGCTACCGCCGCCACCACCGCCGCCGCCGCCAGCTCGCCAAATCAACTCTAGAGACGAGAGGCGGTATAACGGGAAAGCTCTCTTCTCCGTTCGCGAGCCACCGCCGGAAGCTCGTTCTCGTCGTCGTGCTCGTCCGGGCGCGCCTTCGCCGGATTTTTCATTTCGCTTTCGTACGCGATCCCTCTCGCGGCGGTCGTTTCATTAGCGGAACCTGTTCGGAGCACGCGTCGCGATTTTCACGCGGCGACCGGCCGGGAGAAGGGGAACACGCACAGCCACGTTATCGCGATCCGATTTTTCACGGATTCGTCAAGTGCTCGCTTTCGAAGCTCCCGGCGCGACCCCGAAAAATCGAAGACCCGTCGCGATCTGAATATTACGCAAACGCTTCCAAAATCCTCGAGTTTGTAGCTTCAATGCCAAACTCTTGAATTCAAAATGGATCTTCGCGCCCTGAGACGTCTCGGTCGAGCGGTCGATTTGCATGTTTCGCGTTACAAAATATTGCCGAGCATCGTGTAAATCCGCGCACGGAGCGTTTTAACGGCAGATTAAATGGAGGTCACCGAATGAACGTGGCGATTTATTCAGGGTTCGCTATTTTCGTCGGCGGCCGGCCCTTCGCCGGACTGACTCAGCGCGCTCGGGATTACCCGTTAAATTCGTAGAATACGAACGCGTTTTCTGCGCAATCTTGGCTCGATCTCTCGCGCGCGGCAGCGCCTTGAAATCACGGCATTTCAAGATCGCGGCGCGAGCGAAACGCGCGAATCAGCCGCATCGCCGGCAGGGCTGCGAGGCGACGGCCAGCGTGCGAGACCGATTCGATTCACCGTTCGAGGGTTATGCGCAGCCAGCCCGGAGCGCACGAAGGACCCGCGTCGACTAAAAGCAAGGCTACTACCTCGATTAGCAATGAGAGGAGACCGGATGCTCTCGTTCTTCTTCTTCCGCCGCGATTACGACTTTTCGTTTGCGACGTCAGATTTTTCGCCAGGATGCCAGGAGATTGTTGCTCGGAGAGAGCTGACAGAAGTAATGATTTATAATTGTTAAAGAAATGCGTATCACAGGACAAATATCAAGGCTAATCTTTTGCTTTTAGACTAAAACCCTGTGAAACCTGTCGAAGGTGTGGAATTAAAATGTATGTATGTGAATGCAAAGCAGCAACGTTTTTCTGCCAAAATACATCGTAGTTTTTTGAAAATTATAACCATCTTAAACGAGCGGATGAAGAAAACAAAAAATCAATATCTTTAACTGCATTGATATTTTACAACAAAATTAGGATCTGTCTGTTCGCGGAACGACTTAATCTTTTTTACGTTGTTCAATGACAGAGGATAAAAATGATACAATATCCAAACTGATTTGAAAAGTCCGAAACTTACATTATAAAATAATATTGTCCAATAAATTATCGCTGATTTATTATTTAAAGATTTACAAGGGGATAGTTCGAGGAAGACTTCGATACATCGAAAAATTAACTATCGCTAATATACAGAAAAAAAGTGCTAGATTCAAGTAAATTACTTAAATTACTCCAGTACTCCTTAACACATTTTTGCTTGGATTAAATAAATTTTAGTTGAATCAAGTAAGTATTCTTGGATAATTTACTAGGAGAATATTCTATTATTTACTGTTCGAAAATACTGTTCGAAGAATATGTTTTCTGGAGACAAAGATGTTACCAGTTAGAAAGCTTATGAATCGTTGGATATCTCCTATTGGATATCCA